TACTCATTAAGAATCAACATACATTTTTTCATATGTATATGTGTGTGTGTGAATGCGTTTTTTTAAATCTGTACGTGTGTACTACAATTGTAGTTGTTGATGAGATTCTCTCTCTGTATATACATAAAAGTAAGCATCATTGTCAACACCGAATTGTGTGTACACCGCACACAACATTCAATGTTCAATATCGCAAAAAATTCAAACAAACATACATGTATCTACATAAATAGACACATGAAACAGCTACAATATTTCACAATGTCAAAAACACTGCCTGTCCCCTCCCCCCAACCCTCTTCGTAGTTGTGATGTAAAAATTTTTTTTTACTGGGTTTTTGAAACTTGAAGCAATAGATCAGAGGAAAAAGCAGAATAGGAAGGGAAAAAACATTTGCAAAGAGAAATGTAATTCACTTTCTTGTAGAATATGGGTACTATATTTCATATATTGTGAAACTAACTGATCGGAAACGATTATTTAGGACATTGATTATAATTTTCAAATGAAAATTATCAAAATGATTTTTGAGTTGAGTTGAAACTATGAATTCAAGTGGTCTACAAGAAGCCGAACTTGTATCAGCCATGCTTACTTTTATCAGTTTAACGAAAATGGAACCCCTATCTGATCAGGGATCCAACTATCAAAACATGGTGATATGTTCGTCAGTAGGTACGCTTGAAGCTATTACGAGTTCACCTTAGTCGATAAACGTGAACGAGACAACTACCAGCGTCCAGATAGGCTACCTTGAATCGAAAGCTGAAGATAGAAGGCCTTTGTAAGCGTAGAAAGTATATTCTACAAACACTCAGCAATCACAATACAATCAAGCAAACAACTCTCGTTTATTTATACATCATAGAAACGTCCTTGGAACAGTTACGAAAATAGCACACTAAAATACACAACAGCCAATCACAGCCATGGATTTTGCTGGTGGGAAATGAAATCTCAGGGTCAACTGATCATCCCATGCTCGCAAATGTGAAATCCAAAATAAGGCATTTATCAAGCGAATTTTGGGGATCTAACATCCCCAACACATGGTTTCTAGGTTACCGAGTACATAATACATGATTAAATATGTTCAGCAAAACGATTTGGAATGATGTATTTGAGTAGTATAATAATATTAGTTTTCGTTGATATTATTTGTTAAATGTAATTTTATCAAATAAACGATGTTTTCTTCATTACCATTTCAAATAATCGATAAGCTGTCACTTAGAAGTGGATAGGATGCAGATTGCGGAAAGCACTCAACTGCATCAGAAAACAAGCCCTCAGTGGGAATCTTCAAGGTCAAAGAAGAGGAGGAAAGTCAAAGAACACATTACGCTGAGAAATGAATAAAGACTTGAGAAGAATGAATAAACATTGAACAGAACTGGAAAGCGAGGACTAGGACAGAGTAAGTTGGAGAATACTTGATTGGTGGTTACAGGGCTTAAGTAAGTAGTTTATAAAAAAGGTCAGATTTCTTACTCTATTCAATTCACAAATGTGTGATATAAATTCAAATGGGAATCTGCTGGTGTTTTTTGCTTAGTATAACACCCTAAAAGTCGAGTGCACCTAGAACTCTTCAAAGGTTACTGCCGACTCCTAAGTCCGTATAAAAGTGGAGCATGGGGTTAGTAACACCGATCCTCGGAAAATCAGGCTGTACGATATATATATATATATATATATATATATATATATATTCTGTTTATCAAAGGAGAATGATTCTCAGAACTAAAAATATCAATCAGCAATAACCATCATACGAAATTTTATTTCATAACCCAATCGCATGAATTTTTTAATGGAGTTATCAGTTAAACGGTTTACGTACTTAGCTTTAAAAACTACTTCAGGTTTTTATTTGAGGGCTAGGTGATACTAACTATCCAGCTTGATCCAAATAATTAGAGCGAGGTTCAAATCTACCGCTTCATGATATCAAGATGAAATCGCCGTTTTCATAACACTTTAAATGAAAAATCGTACAATGTGCTCACAAGTAACTAGCTTCGTAAAGAAATTTTCGCGCAGTTCTAGTGAGAAGACGTGACCAGCGGCTGTATGCAGTAACTACGCATAGCGGGAGTCATGGATCCATACTGTCACTGTTGAATCCCATACCTGGTAAGACGAAACGGCCGTTCAATGTTTTCAGGTTTCTAATGGTTTTTCTAACTTGAATCTAGCTATGATTTCGAAGAAATTCAATAATTAAGTTGATTATTTATATTATAACCTTTTCTCCATCATGTTGTTACGCATCCACATCGGGATCTAATCAACCACACCTACATCGTTATTCTCATTAATGAAAACCAAATATTTCCATTGATTAGCAAGTTTTGTAATTGACATGTCTTTAACTTATCACAGGTAAAAATATAATGATTCAGTATGCTGTATATTTTATCTGTAGCTTTAAAAACATCACTTTCAAAGGTGAATAGAAGCCAAAAAACGCCCAGTACACTTGACATCCAATCAACACTGAATAGAACCTTCGCGGAGACGTATGGAAAATGCAGAATCACATGCTACAATCCTAACTGGATATTTAGCTATACCGCGATTTTATGTACTGTGGTTTCTCGAAGCTTTCAAATGCCCAAAATCATATGTAAATCTATAAACACACTTATTTTTTAGTGTATAAAGTAACTTTTGAGTAAAGAGTTTATAGTGTAATTAACGCCTTTTCTCTTGTATTCGAGGTACAGTGTATATTTAGTGTGGGACTAATAGAAGGGCATAAGAATTAGATCTTACGTTGGTTTTATAAATACTGTTAACAGAACATATGATATTTTCATATGTGGTACATCGTTAAAATAGTCTCGTTGATCTGTTTACTCATCAGGATCATTGATGAACAAGGTGTATCTGATGCAGATGTGAAGGTGCGGATCGATGAAGCAAGGATTGCATTTCTACAATCGGAAAGCATCTGAACCTCAACACAACTATCTGTCAGCCAACACCAAAGTCATAATTTTCAATGGTGTAAAAACTTGAAGAACCATCAAAGCCATCATCCAGAACATACAAGTGTTCGTTAACAGTTTCTCTAAGCGATTTACTTCGAATCCGTAGGCCAGACACTAACAGTGACAACCTAGTATGAGACAGGACAAACCAGATTCCGGTAGAGGAAGAAATCAGGTAGGCAACGCATTGAGGGAAGCACCAAACTGTGTCATAAGACAAACTAACAGAAAAGAGGAATGCCAAAGAACACACGATGTCGAGAAATGGATGAACAAAAATTAGGTGGAGCTAGAAAGGATAGCCGTAAACAGAGTAGGTTGTAGAATGCTTTTCAGCGGTCTATGCCCCATTGATGAGGTAATAGGCGAAAGTAAGTAATTAATTCAACTGATAACTTCTTCTGTTTCAATACACTTTGTTTAAATTTACCAGAAAAATAAGAAGACTCATTGATATCAATACAATACAATTACTAAACATAATCATTATTTTGTACATTGAATAAAAGCTTGTCTTGATCAATATGACTAATCGGAATGTTTTATTATGTATTGGCCAGAGAGAGAAGAAAATTATTTTCATTGAAACTATCCTGAATTTATTGAATGATTGATGTATGGCATCATCAATTTTATCAAAATTATAACTGACTGGTATTCAAAAAACACACAAAATGTCAGATTGTCTAATTTTGATTATTGTTGGTTAATAACAAAAAAAGAAGGCAAGAAATCGATGTGTTTTTTTTTCAATGTGCACTGGCTGAATTGGTTATATATTTAATGGATAATTCATTAGTAATTGGATGGGCAAAGCAAGATAACAGTCTAACGATTAGATTTACCGTTGTTTTCCTAGGTTATTGCAATTGTGCATAGATTTAAACCCCTAATACTTAAGTAAGCGTTTGAATAAGATGCTTGTGAACATGATATTAAGTAGATTACTGCTTACAGTAATCTACTTTAAATCATGTACAATGAGAAATAATTGTTGATAGACTTTGCGCAGTGAAGTAGTAAGAAAAAAGAAAATTTTGAGTGATTCTGTGGTGTACGCTACTTATGTTCACATAAGTAGTATATATGATATCAAATGGAAAACAAACGTCTAACAGCAAAAGATCGAGAAGGAAAAAATGAGAACAGAAGGCGATTTGTAGGTAACTTAAAGTAAACTAATGTCTGAACACTGAAATTTGAAACAAATAAGGATTAGTTTGCAAATGATGATTTCACGGGAAGGTTTTGTACGTATGCCTAAGATCTCTCTTTAGTGTTCACCTCTAACTTCTCAGAATTTAGTTAGCATGGTTGTACTATTGCATTTATTGACAACAATACCAAGGTTAAAACTGACGGAGCTGTGGAATATTGAGTTCTATTGAAAATCATGAATCACTCATTGTTTGACAGCCATCAGAAACGTGGAAACGTTGAAGAGCCCTTTTTGTCCGGCAAGCAGGAATAATGGATGAACACTGCTAATGAGTCCTATCCTCGAACGAAACGGACATCCAGTGATCTGAGGTCTCTAATGGTTGTCTAATAATGATCGATTCATGATTTCAATACAACGTCTTATGAAAAATTGAATTTCTTCAGAACTCTTAATAAATAACTTGTATTATGTCACTAAAATATATCATCAGATATATAAATTTTCTACTCATTTGAAATATCACCGAAAAAAATTATTTTTGAAATCAAGAATACTCAAAATAATATTTGACTTCTTCGAAAAATTATCATTTTTATCAATAAATAGAAGTTATATTTAATTTTTGAGACAAAAATATTTAGTGCCGTTTCCATCTAACTTCGCCTGGATGCCTCCTTAGAGTTTACTGCCGGCCCTAAGCCTGAATAAATGCAGAGGGATTTGGCGTGAATTAAGCGACCCAAAGCCCTTTAAAAAACTAACACCGCTAACAAAAGGACGTTAGTCAGATTAAAACAAGAAACAAGTATACAGCTGATAATCATCAATTTTTTGTGCTTACCTTGAAAAAACCTTTACATCCTTCACATGTTCTAACACCATAATGTTGACATGCTGCATTATCTCCACAAACTAAACATAATTGATGACAATCAGTTTCATTGATTGGTACAGAATCTAAATCATTCACATGATAATTAGATATAGTTGGTAAACGAGTATTTGTTGGACTAAATGTAATCATTGACGGTGTTGATGTAGACGATAACGATGAGGCGGATGTTGACGACGGTGACGATGACGAGGAAGAGGTTGGTGTACAATTACTATTATTATTATTATTATTATTATTATTATTATTATTAGTACCAGTTAAAAACGAGCACGTGGAATGTGATGACGATGAAAGTAATGATGGACTTAATTGAATTCGTTGTTCCATTGGGAATTTTGTCATCCTCTTTTCATCGACGTCACCGTCAAGTCCATTGAAACCATCATATGGAGGAGGATGATGATTCATGCATAAATCGGTATGATGTGTCATGATTGTACTGGTCGATATGTTCGTTGGTTCTTTCACATTATGATGATAATGATAGTAATAATATTGTGAATTTAATTTATGACATGTTTTAGACATTTTATCCAAACTACTGAAATCATGCATTTTCTCGTCTCCTGTTACTTCCAATTCAGTATTATTATTATTATTATGATATAAATGTTTTTGATGAAATTTTCTATGAGATTTATTAAATATTGATGATGATGACGGCTTGTTTGAATGATTAGTAGTTTTCACATCTACGATTTGATTTGAATTCAATGGGAAATGAGAAAAATGTTCAAATTCATTGAAATATGAACTACTACTACTACTAATATTATCATTAGTAGTACTAGTAGTAGTATGCATGTTATTTTGTTGATCAGATTGTTGCATCTCATCAATAGTTGTTTGTACAGATTCATTATTCAATAAATTATTTGTTGAATTTACATTGAATAATTCATTTGTTTCGCTGAAATTAGACATTTTCAAAAAATCTTTATCATGATTAAAATATTTGACAATGAAAGCTTGTTGTTGCGCTGTTAAATAAGATGAATTCATTTTAAGTTTTTCATGAATACTATTTGTTGAAGGAAATATATTTGATGAGAAATAGCTTAAAGGATTTATTGTGAAACTATCCACAGCGCTATCATTATTATTGAGTTTAGATGAATTATTCAAATGAATCGACTGTGATGATAGATCATGATTGTAGGGTGTAGTTTTATTTGAATAGTCTTCATCAACTGTACACGGCGATACATAAGAATGTTGTAGCGTTGTATTATTTGGTTGATTAGAATAATCAAATGTAACAGAGTTGAGATTTTCTGTAGGAGTAAAATTTAAATGTTCCATGGAATACAGTGGATATTCATTAGGAGGAGGAGGACAGTGAAGTTTTTCCAAATTGTTGATTGATAATGACGATTCATCAGGTAAATAATTTTGTGGTATATAGGATGTCAGGGAATTATTATTATTATTGATCATTGAATGGTCAATACAATTGATCAATTCCATAGGATTATTTATACTACTACTATTACTATTACTACTACTACTACTACTACTAGTAGTAGTTGATGTTGTATGATATGAAAATTCATCTGGTTTGTTTAAATCAATCATCATTGTCGGTAAACAACATGGCAGTGAACATTTAATTTTCTCTTTCATTTCTTGCATTAAATGTTCATCAAATGTAAAGTCAACTGATGAGTGTGTTACACTTGGGACAGATTGAAATTCATTATTGTTCAATGTACAAGATTTTTCGGCATATTCATCATCATACATGTCATTATTATGTTGAATAAAATTATGCCTTGATTCAGTGAATTTTATAGAATGGCTAAATTGATCTCTTGGATATTTTGTGCCATCTCTTTCACAAATTGATATTTCATGATTTATGGGATAAGATGAACAAGTGTCATCAATTCTACGCTTTAATAAACGAGATTGTTTGAGTGGTGTGGATTGACTTTTTTTCAAATTGAAAGACGTTATAGTAGGGAAATTTTTCAAACTTTCATTTTTGTTACTGCAAGATGTGGAATTCAGTAGATTCATGGCAAATTGATCATATGAATTGAGACATGATGGTGAAATCGTCTTATCTTGTTCAATTTTAGTATATGAAGAATCACTGATTTGTTTTTTCACACTCTCTTCCGAGGATAAACTAACCGATAAAATTGAATGATTACCGGTATTATTATTATCTAAACTGTTTTTTTTATGATTCGGTGCATTCCTAACTTTTTCCAATGATGTTCGATATTCAATAATTTCTTCATTGAACACTGATTTAGTCGGATGAATTTTATTCACAAACAATTCATGATTTTCTAAATTGAACATTTTTGAATTATTCATGGATTCATTAGTTAAATCACATGAAATCATGGACAAATGATCATCGCATATTGGACTACCCAGTTGATCGCGATGAAATCGATCACATGGAGCTGGACAACATTTAGAATGATTAGTCATTTTGACATTCATGTCAGAATGTGTCAATGTTGTGAAAATGTTCAATGTTGACGGAATGTTATGATCACAATTCAATAATTCATTCTGTGCATACAAATCTATTTGATTCTGTGTATTCCGATCATCGTTATTACTTAATTTATGAACTAATTCACTGATTAAACCGCTTTTGGATAAACAACAGTCAGGAAGCAATGAAGAATTACTATTTTTCTCTTCATCTAAATTACATTCATTGGAATTGGGCAATTTAGGATAATTCAATTCGAAATTCGCACCAAGAATTAAATGATTTGTATAGTTATCCGATTGATTCCTTTCACAATCATCATATTTCGATGACAATTTCAACGATGACCATTCAGGAAATAAACCATTGGTAATCATGGGATTTGTTGTATCATTCGGTCCGATTGAATTACAGTAACGAGGTTGATGATGATTATTATTATCAGTAGTAGTTGTATACGTACTGTTATTAGTAGTATGATTAGAAAGTGTTGATGATATAAGCTGAGTGTCGAATGTATGCGGAATATCACAAGAATGTATCATTAATCCTGAATTTGATGTTTCATGCAATGATTGGAATGTTACTGGTATAGTCATTGAATGAATATACTTTCACTGGAAGAAAAAAAGACGTTGTTTTGAAGTTAGAAAACAGAAAATTTATAAATTAAACTACAGTAATTATAGTGAGAACATGATTTATAATTTGTAATTGTTGTTAATTAAGATTTTTAAAAAATAATAATTTCATATTATAGATTAGATGATAGGAGTACAGCCCGTATGATAGGGCGGTGGAGATTGGTCAGTCACATTAGAAGAAACCTGGAAGGACTAAAAGATGGCCATTTCGTCCTGGTATGGAATTCATCAGTGGCAGTGGGCATCCACGTCCACCGCAACTCGCAGGATTCGAACCCAGGGCCATCGGCCTGGCGCGCAAAACGCCTAACCTCTAGCCAACTGGGCCGGCACTGGACGGTGTTAAGGTCTAACTCTGATCAATCGAAGGATTTTACGCAACCTCACCCATTTGCCTTTGATGCAGTTACTAACTACATCAGACAGGATTGAACTCCCAGGTTCAAATCCTGTGAGTTTCAGGAGTTCTGTATGCTCAATGCTACTGATGATTCCCTAACGAGGACGAAACCGCCATCTTTCAGTGATTCCAGGTTTCTAATGGTGATCTAACAATGATCGATTCAGGATTTCAAGAAGTACATTAAATAATCAAATTATTTTTAGGTACTTTATCTAAATTTTAATAAGTTAACATTAACAGTGTTTAAGTTTTTTTTTATATCAACTGTTCAGTTTTTTATTTGGTTTCGATATTCGTTTATGGAATATTCATGCTATGAAAAAAGCGTTTGATTTAAAACTCATGAATTAGGTAATAATGACCGAAAGTTTAAATGTTGCGTTTCTCTTAACTTTAAATATCACAGTCATTTACATCGGTGTCTTATCTAAGTACTGAGAATATTGCAGGTGAGTTTATTTTAAACCTTCACTTTGAAATTCCATAAGCTCTAATTTATTAATACGTAATTTGCAAAAAATGCAGAAAATCAACCTGACTTTTATTAAGTCGAACTATCTGCAGCCTATGGGAGATTTTTCATCGACCTACAAGGAAATAAGCATAATGCTCAGTGGGTTATCGCTTGGCTTTGTGACTATTAAAAAAATTATATCTAATAAAAGTCAAGTCATAGTGTGGTGTATGCGCTACTTATGTTCACATAAGTAGTATATGATATCAAATGGAAATCAAACGTTTGACAGCAAAAGATCGAGAAGGAGAACAGAAGGCAATTTGTAGGTAAGGGTAAAGTGAACTGAAGTCTGAACAGTTTAAATGAAAGAACACTGAAATCTGAAACAAATAAGGATTAATTTGCAAATGATGATTTCACGGGAATGTTTTTGTACATATGCTTAACAACTTTGTAATATCCGCTTAAATATAGATGTTGATGGCTTCACCTGAGTTATCGTGCACAACACTAGGAGTTTTTACTAAAAATACTATTTACATCTATTGAAACAAGTACATCTTAATTTGTTTCTCTAAGGTTTGTTCTAACAACTTTATGTGTGTGCTAAGTAGGATAGGGTGTCTTTAACTGATACACATATTTTTAAGTTCTAATGAGAATATGCATAGAATGAGTATGTAAATCTTGAAACAATCAAGATTATCAGAATATGCACTATGTGTACTCATGTTAGCATACAATTTTGGCTACAGTATAGGTAGATTTATAAAAATCTATTTGTAAATCATGCATTTGTATTAATTTTTTATCCAAAGTATCACAGAACTTCAAGCAAACACTACTAGATTCGAGTCCGGGAATGAATATCAAGTCTAAGATATGACAGGTATATCGAGGTGAAAGACGAGTCTTAAATAGGATGAAGCACGAGTACTGGATTCCTCTGTTTCTGACCTGATGGCTATATCGAAGTGATTTATACAGGATACAATTATGTCAAATGAGTCTTATCAATTGTAATCTTAACACGATCAATGAGGAAATTCAAGCTACAAAGTACCAAACGTATCAGTATGATGTAAGCTGTTTTAATGGAATGCCATATTTGACTAACGTAGCAAACATTCAATTTCAAGTTAGCGAAATAACAGTCAAAAATTTAATACCAATATTTCGGGATTTAACTGTCATGTAGATTTGGTTTATATTTCCATGTTAATAACTCATTTATAAGATACAGTCGTGATAAATGTATGTAAGTTCTTATCTTTCGAACGGAATTTGATCAATCTTTGTAGACAGAATAATGAATAACTATTTGTCATTTTATATCAGTGGACACTTAGTTTTATCAGTCATTGTGTACAACAGGTTTAAAATGTAGGTTTATGTAGCTGGAAAAATAAAGCCAAAAATGAATAGAAATCTAAACGCCGTTTACAGTGTTATCCACTCCTGCAACTAGCAGGATTCGAATTCAGGCCTTTCGGTCTTGCTCGAACGCCTAACCTCTCGACTACTGAGCCTGCACCCAACAGTATTAATATCTGACTCTGATCAATCTAAGGATTTTACGCAACATCAGGCTTTTGTCTTTGGTCACGCTCGCACGTTTGACAATAACACTTTAAATACCGGCAAAGTGGTCCAGATGTAGTGAAGGAGAACAAGGGTGGGGTAACCGGATTGTATTTAACGAATATTAAAGAGTTACTCAGTAAAATCGGAAAACTATATCGTAAATCGTTAATTTGCAAAATATCAATCTATCGTATCGAGCTGGACTGTTCCTGTTGCAAAACATCAATCCATTGTCACTACTATTCATGCGTTTCATACAAATTCCATTGCGTTCTAACTCTTCCTTTCTTGATCTTCCTCCATCTTCTGCTGCCAGACATTACGTTGACACTCACGTCATATACTACTCATAAGTAGCTCGCACCACACAGAGATTAAGAGGCTGCGCTCAAGATCGAAGGTCATGGGTTCTAATCTGGCGAGATTAGGAGTCGTGGATCCGCACTGGTCATGAGTTTGTTCGCAGGAGGAAATGACTATCCAATACCTCCTGGTTTCTTATGGTTGTCAAGGATTGATTGACACACGATTTCAAAAAATAACTGTCACTCATATCAATGGATACTAGTATCATAAGTCAATGTGAATAATAACTGTAAACTGTAGGTTTATGTAAACTGGCAATAAAAGCCAAAATTGAAAGGAAATCTAAACGCCGTTTACAGTGTTAGCTCCTTATCAAAAATCGTAACAAATGAGAATAGGTATGTGATAAATGGAATTTGGCTAGTTTTCTTTACTATTGTTAACAATTATGATTGAATTCTATCAAGCACAAATTCAGCTTCCTCTTAATATCACATAAATGATTTATGATTTCCCCCTGAATAAGGTTAGTTAATTACTGTTAGGGAATAATCAAAACTACCTAGGTATCAAAACGATTATCTTCTGATCCAACTAATGTTGAATAATTTTCCGTCACACAGAAAAGTTTTGCATGGAATTCACCCATAAATAACTGCATCTAACGTGTTTATGTTAATAAATATTCATTCACTGTTTACTCATGTTTAATTATCAGGCCATAATACAGAGAGTTTACTAACTAAACTATTGTTAAAAAAACTTAAATGTAACTGTCTGTGAGTATCAGTTTTTCTTTAAAATTTAATCTGAAGAAATTTCAGTGGAACTGCGACTTTATTGTAACAACATTCAGCAGCTACGCTTATAAGGCTGAGATTTGATGATTATTAGACAAACGCCGATTTGACTGGCTAGATATTAACACTGACCAAATTTGATAGCCGTTTCTCGCCAGTAGGGTACATACCAGCGCTGCACATCCATGAACTCTCAACAGGACTGTAACGTATACGAATGCTTAATCTCTTAACTACTGAGCCGGCAATATCCAACAGTGTTAATATCCAACTTAAATAAATTCACAATGTTGCGCGACTAGACACAGTTGAACTCCGATGCTGTCGTCTCCTCGCTGGAACTATTTTTTCCAACAGTAATATTGATTGCTAACTGTCATTCTTGATTAGACTATTCATAAAATCATTGAGACTCATACATTTCATCCTAACTTGGTGCTCTTCAATGATACACAAGAAGTGAATTCTAAAGGATAGGAACCCTTTTGAAATATAATTCATTAAGGCTAACTAAACGATGCAGTAAACATAGTATAAGTGAACCGTACAAATTCAGTCCAACAGAACGATCAATATTTGAACGAATCGTTTGAAAAACGATCGGGCTTCAAGTATCTGCAACAGGGTTATTTATAAAAATTATATATTTGAAACTAATCTCAGAGACTGTGAGTTTTTGAAAATTTTAATTCCGATTATGATAAATAACTCTGACAAAGTTCAGATAAAATAACTGAATGAAATATTGGGATGATCTGAAAAAAAATATTTCTCAATCTCTGAGAATTAATTTTCAAATATTATTTTCTCAAATAATATATTTTGAAATAATTTAAGCGCGGATCAGCAAAACAAGGGCTGCATTTCTACAATTGGACAACCTCTGGAAGTTTAAATGAATATCAACCAACAACGAAATCACAATTTTCAAGAAAAATGTCATGACAGTTCCACTATATGAGGAGGAAACTTGGAGAATTATAGAAGCTATCTATCAACCAGAAAATACAGGTATTCATTAGCAGTTGTCTATGCAAAATACTTCAGACCCGTTGGTCAGACACTTTCAGCAACAACCTACTGTGGGAAAGAACAAACCACATTCCAGTAGAAGAGGAAATCATGAAGAATTGATGGAAGTGGACAAGACAAACATTACAGAAATTATACAAATGAGTCACAAAACAAGCTCTCACATGGAACCCTCACGGTCAAAGGAAAAGAGGAAGACCAAGGAACACGTTGCGCACAGAAATGAAGACAAACATGAGAAGCATGAATGGACAGAACTAGAAAGTGAAGCCCAGGACAGAGTAGGTTGTACAATATTGGTCCGCAGCTTATGCTCCATGTGGGGTAACAAGCGTAAGTGAGTAAAGTAAGAAATACTTTAAACAAAAGTCTT